TGCAAAAGGTGATAGAGGGGTCGTGCAGGGGTTTTAGACGATGAACCTCATCGGGTCTTCAGACGGGTGTTGCCTCGGTTTCTGTGTTTGACAAAGTGTTGCAATCTTGAAATTTGCTGGGTTTACCGATGGGGGGTTCCTGTAAAAGGTTCCTTGGTACACGTAAGGGGTCAGAGCGATTTGGGCATTTTTGGATCCAAGAAGATATGGTTCTCCAAAGCCTTTTCAACTGTTCAGGCTCCTAGTTCCTATGGTCTGGCATAATTCTGGCTTTGTCCTTTGTTTCAGTGGGTTGAACAATGCTCCACAAGCCCCCACGCCGTTTTGGTCCTGTAGGTCCCTGTAGGTGCCAAGACCTCGAACAAAATGGAGCAAAGCTTTCACCCCAACCCCAAAATCTCCAATCCCTACACCCGACTGCGCCTCAGGACGTTCAACCGAGTTCTACCCTTAAGCCGCAATCCTTTAAGCCCCTTCTAGCATCCTGACAGGAAAGCCTTACAGGAACCCCTCAAGCCCCCGAGACGCCCCCAGAAGCTTCAAGCTTACCAAATTGTCGAGGCAGAGTTCGAGCAGCGGAGTGCCACGCGCACCGAGGATTCTCCCAAGAGACACTGAGGTTTTAGGATTTGGGGTTGCGGTTCTTTTTTCGGATTTTCCTTTCGGGGTGTACCGTAGGGTTTAGGGTCTCTTCGGAAATTGTGCTGGCCTCTTACATTACTCGGGGATCCTGAAATTCTGAAGGGTTTAAGACTATTGTTGCTTCACAAGCTTTTGTCAGCGTTTCAGGGGATTACATGGAGCAAGGGTGCCTGGGGGGCTCTTTTCTCGAAGTCCATGCTCCTACCTGCGGGTTCTTTTTTGGTTCAGAATCCCGACTTTAGCTGGTAAGGTCTATGGCTGAATTCTGGAACGAACATGGAATTGGAGCATAGCACCGAAGTGCTGTAACAGATTTTTGGCACTGCGGGGGTGTGAGTTGGCTCGTTGAGCATGCTGGCACCGCAAGGCAGTACTCGTCAGATACAGCTGGTCTCCTCGCACACTTCATCGCAGCTCTTAGCACTTCATAGGACTTTTCAATCCTTCGGCGACTACATGCAATCTGCGGTCTGCATTGGGGCTGCTACTGCGACTCCGTCGGATCGTTGACTTGCCTGTACCGTGACAACAGCTGTCTTGGACGTTTGTTGTGCGCCGCTTGGGTGAGCATAAGGGGGTCCTGGGCCGTAAGTAGGGTCCTACAACATAGTGTTCTAAAGACATTCATATAAGCAAGCCCTTGACGCCTAAAACGCCAAAAACTCAGGAGCACTCCGCCTACACCCAACTTCACACACTCTCAGACTTCACTCCTGACACTGACACTCCAAAACCCAACAGCCCTCCGATCAGCCAAAGAACCTGGAACCCAACACTGCTTCGCGAGTGGCGGACAGGAGCTCTCGGCCGTGACCAAAGCTGTAAAGGAGCCTTGTCAGAGTTTCAGCGGCTCAGGTACAGAGCTCAAGGTTTGTGCGTCGAGTCTCAAGTATGCGTTGCATGTCCAAGTTAATGCTGTGAGAGGTCGGGCCTTTGAGTGTTGGGTGATGTAGGGGCCTAAACAATTACCTAAACTACGTTGGGGGGTTCCTTACTATATACTTATAGTACAATGGGCCCCGAAACCGTATTCTAATTATTAAGGCCCCTAAATTGTGCTAGCTTGAGGGAAGGACCTCGGGGGGGTACAGTTTCAGCGCTCGCTGACAAGTTTCAGGATGATCCGGGTTTTTAAATGCAAGTGGCTAGTTCTCTAAATTAGGGTGCCTTTTTGGGCTCCCCAATATAGTAGGCAAAAACGACCCTAAAAGGGGCCCTACTTTAGAGAACTATCCAAGTGGCTCTGATTGCCTCGCGTCGATAGAGACATGTCGAGTTGTCTCGGTGGAGCGCCGTTAGCGACCAAGGGGTGCACTTCAGCTCACCAAACTCCAGTGCCCGAGCCTAGCTGTCAGGGATCGGCCCGCATCGCAGTTGTTCTGTGGGACATTTTGGTAGCACTGACAAAGCAGTAGCTAGGGGGCCAGCCCAATCAAGGGTTCTATAATTTCCAGGGCATCATATCAGGGTTCGGACAAACAGTAGTCAGGACCTGTTATCGTCTCCACAAAAAGCTGCGAAATGTTGCACCCCAGAACCCTGTTCTAGTTATTGAGGTCCATATCTGTACATGGCCGAGAAGGATTTCGGAGGGGCATCCAAGCGCACGAAACCCGCTTTCTTGGAGCCCTTTCGTTGCTCCCTTCTCCTCCTTTGGCCCGAAAGGCTTCAGGCTTTGAGGGTTCAGGGTCGGACTTTCCTTTTTCCCTACACGGCCCCAAACCCATAATTACGAGAGACATCGGCGTTCCCACGTGTTCCATGTTGTGAAGTCCAGCGTCGAAATCCGGATGGCTTTGGCGCAGGCTTTGCAAGGGGATGAGGCGAAGTCACTCCTCTCCACTGCAGCGCCCGGCTCTCGGAGTTTTGGGATGAGTTTGGGGTTTCGCTGTGTTTAGGGTCATGGGGTGTTGGCCTTGCGGGCTCAGCGTTAGGGCTTCCAAAACAGATTCAAACAAAGCCCAGTAAGCTGTACATAGAACATCCCGAGACTTGCCATAAACGTATGTTTTGTAAACGTCAGTCTTACTATTTAGATATTATATCGTACTATCAATTATTAAGTTAACACCATCCGCTCTGTTTTTCCTCGATCCACCCGTGTTCCGTGATCTGTTTGGGGTTTACTGTGGTGGGCTAGTTGATCCGATACTCGTAGAGTTGGAGCCAGGTCATTCTGAGGCCAGATTTCACATAAATAAAGTGGAATCAGGTTTCGGAGTGTTTCAGAAGCTAAAGGTACAGTTACCTTGGGAACAGAAAAGGGGCTAGGAGAACCCTCACGTCTAAACTGTCCTAACTCCTGATGCTAGGTGCTTTAAGCTTCAGGGCTCTTAGGGCTTGTAGTAGCGTTTGGGAACGAATCCACACAGCACCCCGAAGCCCTGCAGTCCTAGACCTATAAGTCCTTGCCTGATTCCCGTGATTCGCTCCAAACCTTAAATCCCGAATCCGACTGAGAACGCTCAAATAAATCTCAAGTCAGTGCGAAAGAGCAGCAGGAACGGAAAGCACACAAACCCAAAAGCCACAAAAGCCGCTTAGCAGCCCACGAAAAGAGAAGTCGACCCAGTGCCAAGGTCTTTCCTGCAGCTCAATGCTGTGGATCAGCGCCAAGCCAGGGCGGCCGAGGCCTCTAAGTTTCAGGGCCTTTCAGGACCTTCTGAGCCCGTCGAAGATAGGATCAACATGAGCAAACCCTCATTGGGTGGAGGTCTTTTAGCACCGAGTGCTCTATGCCAGCGTGATACACGGGCACCCTTGAAGCCTTGGGAAAAACCAACCGACAGTCTTCCAAGCATCATGGCATGGGAGGGAACATGAACTTGGTACAGCCACCATGCGACCTCAAAGCCCCTCTGCAACCTTGAGCTTTGAGCACTCCGAGCTTAAGCCGCCCTCGACCTGAGACCCCTGGGCCCCCCCCAAAAACCTCGCAGGTGCTTTCTGCCGCTGGCAGGCGACTCGGAAATCAGGCGAGCATCCACTGCTTCCCCCAGAGCTCGAAGAAGCTCCGAATGCTGCCAAAGCTCAGGCTTAGGGTTTCCTAACTGCTTGGAAGCCTGGCGGGCCTTTAGAAGCAAGGGTCTGGAGAAACTTAGGATAGCTGTGGTAGTTGTTATTACAGCGCCAAACGAGGGCTCTTGGTGTACAGGGAACTGCCCAGGCCACTAAAGCCCACAGCCGTAGACCTCAAACTCAGAGTTGAAGCCTTTACGCCTCTGCTACTTCGGCTTGCCTTTGCCTAGTAGGTTCTCAAGACCTCGCATATAGAGGTAGCTAGGACCCACGCCATGCAAGGCAAGGACATGAGAGCAGGGTTCAAGCTCCCTTCGAACCCCTCCACGCCCCATTGAAGGCGATGATCACTCTGGGTCTTCAGGCCGCCTTGCTGCGATGAAGCCGTGCTCTTTGGAGACTCTTATTGTCGCAGGTTCCGGGTCTAGGCTAGGTCGCCCACCGGTAATACCCTTAAGCCATCTTCTGCGGGTGTCGTCCTTAATTTAATGTTCTCGGACGGTCAGCCTGAGTTAGCCAAGCCTAATCTATGGGCCTGAATCATTCGTAAGAGTGTTCCCACCCTACTCCAACTCATGAGCCTCCTAGAAAGGCACACCTTAAGCCTTAAAGGTCACCCTTTACAGGAGCCCTTAAAACGGAGCCTTAAAGGAGGAACCCCTACACAGGCGAAGGGCGATGGCATCCTCAAGGTGCAGGAAGCCATCGACGTCGGGGCTCCCGGAAACGGAGCCGCTGTCAGCTTGTTGCTATTGGGGCCAGGGCATCGGGATTAAGGGTCTAGGGCTTATGAAAAGCATGCTGTTGTGCCGTTAGGGTTTGGGGTTTAGGGCGTAGGCTTTTGGGTTTAAGATTAAGGTTTTATCTTTGTGTTGCACTCAAGTACTGCCTGCGCCGGTATTGCTTCTGTTGCGTGTATTTCTTTATTTTTTTGATTTCTACTCTTCGAATGCATTACTCCAATCGCTACCACTTTCATATCTTGTTGGCTCCCAGAACAGGATCTCGTTTGCTCACATTTTCGGAGCCGGAAGGTGCGAAAAAGTACGTAGTTGCAACCAAGTCGTTTGTTGAGGGCTTTGCTTTCAGCAACACACTACAGCCCGCAACCCCGAAACGAGACATGGCGAGAACAACCGGCCAAAGACTACAGAAGCCGCGAGCGATTGGCGTGTAGGGTTTCGGGCTTATTGAGAGATGACCAAGCAAGGCTAGTGGCCAGTAGTGCAGTTCCACTGGTGCAACGCAATGAAGCCTTAGATGCTTAACACAGGACAGATCAAGTGAGCAGCGAACCCACAATGATTACCCTTAGCCTTGTAGCCTTGGCCGGGGAAGGGATGCCAAAATGCCATTCCCTGGATTTGAAGCCCACGAGACTTCCTGCGAAATCGTTGCAGGGAATGGTTCGCAGCCTGACGCAGCAGCCGAAGGATGAGGTGAAGGAGCATGACAGATGCCAGAAGGACTGGGCTCAGGGCTTGGAGGCTTAAGCTCTGGTTGGAAGTTCAAGAGCTCTTCGGTTTTTCTACCTGTAACCTTACTTTCCTACCTGCGTTCTCGGAGTCGAACTTCGGGTGCTGATAGCTTTATCACCATGCCGAAACCTCTCCAAGCTAAGGTCCAGGCCGTCGGATCTAGCCAACCCAGAAACCCTAGCAACCTGAGGCTTTAAACCCTGAAGCCCAGACCGACCTTTCTGCAAGGGTGAAACAGCTCTGTGCCCATTCTCACAAGGGAGATCCCCGAGTTTCGCGTAAGCATCGTGCCCCCTCACACTCTGAAGGCCCGAAAGCCCTAGAACACAGACTCAGAAGAAGCCCAAAACCGCAAATCGAAAGCTCCAAACCGTAAACTTCACCCTTAAGGCCCTAAACCCTGGCCCTAGCCAAATAAGCCCGAACCTGAGCCAAGAAACTAAGCAGTATCAGGACTTTTCAGACAACAAGGCTTCCACTGACGAGAAGACAGAGCTGAAGGGATCCACAAAGGGAAAGATCAGTGCCTTGGTAGCTGAGTTCTGTAGGAGTTCTTCACTGGATTCTACAAAGGCTACACAAGGTTATTGTGGGGTTCAGAGGGTTTAGAGCTTGTCTTTGGGTTCTAAACGAGGAATATAGGGCCAAGCATGAGGCCTTGCTATAGGTTCTGGGGAGGGGGGGGGGGGGTGTTTTACTTTACGCTCTTCCCAAGAGAACAATGTGCCTCAAGCCATTTGGGTGGGTATGAACCCGACCATACTAAGAAGTTTCTAAACGTTTCGCGAGCTTACAGCCCCATACCATAAATCCCTTGAAACCCCTCTGGATCCCTCTAAATCCCCCATGAACCCCAAAACCCGTCATGAGCCCCGGAGAAGCAATAGAACCCGCATGAAAGAAGAGATTAGCATCTATACCTGAATATTCGCACCACGCAAGACCTCCAAGGTCAGCTGCAGTCCGACATCACAACCACAGAGGAGGCAATCTCCAAGCTCAAGGAGGACTCCTGCTTTTGCGAGAGCAGCACAAAACTTGGGGTGCCCTTTCAAACTATTTGAGGAACTGCGTAGCTATGACGAGCGTCCAACATGGCAATGGGTTTTGGGAGTACTCTGAACAATCACGGGAACGTACGAAGTCGGGGCTTTAGTTGTTTCGAGCCTTGGTGTACGGGTTCGGGCGTCTTTCTCGTTCGTCAGAGTGGCCAAAGTCCTAGCATGATATGCGATACTGGTACCCGTAGCAATGTTTACGATGCTTCCCTGTGGTTCCCAGTACTACACCACTATGAGATGAAAGCCTTGTGAGTGTTGTCTTCCGCGGCTGTCGCAGCACACTTCTGGTTTTTCATGATTGGAAAGCCCTGAACCCCTAAAGAGCCCAAACCCTATACGAAAAACGCCGAAAGCCGAAACCCTAAACTAGTTGTCGACTCACAGGTTTGCCTTCCAAAGCTGACTAGCACGGAACCCGAAGCAGAGCCACGTCGGGGTGTTCCTTGTGGACTACCTGTTCATCTTCTACTGCAGTAGACCCGCAGGTGTGTTGCACATGTGTTGCTCCAGTTTCACTTATTGTATACATATATATATAGTACCGTATTTTCAGCTGTCTGTATGTTGTGCGACCGCACATCAATGTTGCAGTGACGCCTGGGATTTGCTCAAACTCTGAAAACCATGTAACCCTCACAACTGTGTACGAGGTTTAGGACTCGAAGCATGGGCTTAGGGCGTAGGGCCTAGATGCCTTAAGGCGTTAGGGTTGCGCGCTGTGGACGGCAGGCACACTTGAATTAAACCTCTCAGGGTTTGAGATTTTGTTGGAGAGGACTCTGAGGAGATGGCAAAGCAGTTGCAGGTGGGTGGGTTTTCTGCATTCTTCGTCGTTGTTCGCATTGCAGAGCTCTGTTGGCGGAGTTGCTTTCCGTCCTTTCGAGCGGGTCCGCCTTAAATCCTGCACCCTGAGCCTTGAAACCTGCTTCGATGGATTGGAATGCGAGTTTCGGTGGCGTATGCATCCGGGGCTGTGTCACCTCGATGTACGGGTCAGTTTTAAATGTTGCTGCCTGTTTAGGCTACTCATCCTAGCAAGCATTATTCAACCAGGTACGACAGGTAATCCGGACTAGGTAAGGGCATCTTCTAATGCGCCCATCTTCCGCTCACTGACACGGCATGCAGAAGTTCTCCATGTTTGCAACCGCCCGTACGCAAGCAAACCGTTCCGCGATCGCTTAAAGGCCCAAAGCATTTGGATTTCAGCATACATGGACATCCTCCTCAGAGTACCCGGAAAAGGCACCACGTAGATCGTAAAGTATGCCTGGGATCAGGCTGCCAAAGAGAACCGTGAGAAGGAGATGGGCCTGGTTCCGAGACATCCGCTCCTGCGGTAGCGGATTCCGGTCGAGTTTAAACTTCGCAGACTGATCCATACCTGATATCTGGCACTGTGGGATTTTTCTGCGGGAAGCAGCATAGTTGCCTTTGGAGCTTCGGAAAGTTGAAAGTGAGGAACCTTGCCAAAGGGACTTCCCTAAATTAACTCAGACACTAGACCCTGAAGCCCTAAAACGGCCGAAACCCTATAAACCTTGAGGAAATCCTAGTTTCAAGAAGCTTGCAATTGGGTCCAAAACGGGACGGAGGAGGAAGAGGAGGAGTCGCAAGTCCGACGTAGTCCGACGGTGTGTAAGACATAGTTTTGCGTTGTTTCGCGCTGTGAGGCTAAGGGTTAGAGGGTGGCCCATCTAGGGCTGAAATTGGGAGTAAGGGGTAGCGGACTTCCAGCTTCGGCTGACATGTTTGCGTGCGTGCTGGTGTCAGCGAGTAGCCTGATGGTGCGTGGCGGGATGCCGCATCTGGCTTCTTGCTGAATAATTGACTGGATGCATCGTAAACTCTCATCCAATGTGATTCGCCTGCCATGGCGGCGCCTTTCAGTTGTAGTGGTGTCGTCAAGCATCTGTCCACCCCCATCTAGCTGCAACTTAGACCCTAAATACCAAACCCTCATCCTTAAACACTGATGGGATGCAGGGTACTTTGCCAGACTATAGATTGCTGGCAAGGCGGGAGGCAAAAAGTCCCTGAAGCGGGTGTCCGAAATGCCGAGGCGAGTTTGCAGACACCGTGGCCGAGCAGCAGCACACGCAGAAGCTGCTGGGCGAGGCAACCATGCGGAGAAAATGGCGATAGATCTGCGGATTCATGATCTACCTTGCACGGATGATTTGTAGAGGGGTGGCTTCGGGTTAAACATCGTCATGGAATCCCCCCAAAAGTCACATCAGAGCAAGGGCAGCCACAACATTGTGGAATGCAAATAACGTGCTCCAAACGGCGGTTCTTGGAGCAGGCTTGGGTTAATGATTACTAGTAGGCCTCAAAAGGATGCACGTGAGCTTTGACAAAGACTGAGTTCTTCTTCAAGCTTATTATTATCTCCCATTGACATGCGAGCTTTGTTCGGCCTGCCACAATGCAGATGTTTTGCAGGCGTGTGGATATAAAGGCATGCCTGCACCTACATACATATATAGTCAGGTGCTTACTCATACCAGCTAATATGCTTGCATACAATAGCACACATACACAGAGCCACCACTCGTGTATATGCTTTAATGTTTTGTGTGTTGTTTATGGCCCAAGACAAACACCTAAGGTTTCGGAACCATGGCTTGGATCCTGAGAGCAGGAGTACTTGTGTACGTCCAAAGATATGTGTGTGTGTGTAACACAACACTATGTATATATCTTCTCATATATTTATTTATTTATGATATCTATATATATATATTCATTTGTTTATTTGTCTATTTAATTAATTTATTTGTTTATTTATTTATACAGAGATACAGCCATACATGCTCCTATGATGCCGTTATCACGCCTGCTGCCCTACCGGCAGCAACGCACAGCTATTTGCACAGACACCACAATGCGTGTCAGCCCTCCCTTTGCCATCATCAACTCCGAGAGCCTCTAAGCCTATGATGCAGTGTAATATCATATGATACTATATCACCAAAAAATGTTAAATAGGTCAACCGAACATAAAAGCATAATATGATACTGTATAACCCAAAATAGTGCAATCTTTCCCTAAGCTGTCATTGGGGATTGGACTCCTTGGACCCAGAGAACATGGGCCACCCTGGACTGTACTTTACAGGATAGCCAATTGGATTTGTACACCCATAAACCCAAACGTTTGAAATCCTCTATAAAGCATCAACCCTATAATGCACACCCCGCGCGTAAACTCTACAAGTAACCTACCGCCCACATCTGAAAGCCCAATGCCCCTCAATGTACGCACAAAACCTTCGGCCTTGCACCGTTCACCCGAAACCTCAGGTCCCTCCTGCACCAATTCACTTAAAGCCCAACCCCAAGTGGCCGAACTTTTCTCAGCAGGCTCTTGAGGCCTTGCAAACCTTCTACGCAAAGCCCGCTCTGGTTCAGGCAAGTGCAGCCACATTTTTTTTTGTTTTCGGCAGGGCGGACGGGGGGGGTTGCTGTTCTTTCAAGATAGGCTTGTTCTCAGCGAGCTTTCGGTGGTCTTTAGGGTGTTGGCGTGGGATTTAGGGTTGCAGGGCTTAGCTTTAATTGGTTAAGGGTTGGGAGATCATTTGAAAGTTGCCGGGTGCTTGCATCAACAAAATTCAGCACCCTACTTGTGAACGAAGCTTGTATTGGGTCGCTTGTGCTTTGATGCTGGCGCCAGCTTGGGCTTTGGGGCCAGTGTGTTGGCACTACAGTTTCGGTTGATTTCGGTTGCTACTGTTCAAGGTTTCTGTTGTTCTTCTGCGGCATCACTTTGTTGTTGTCACAGTTCCGAGTGCTGCTTCTGCCACTGCTTTGCCTATAGATGTAGTTTGAGGTTACATTTGTTGTTTCTTTTAAATCCACGACTACCATGCTAACTCCCCGCTTGCTACTGTGGTGTTTGTGGTGCTATGTGCGAGTGTGCGTCTCGACCTCGATAAATACGGGCACTCTAGCGAGTATGAATTACTGCGATTGGGAAAATCTTAGCAGCCAGGATTGCTAGCAGCTTTGTGTTGATGATGCTGCAGTTCTGTCTAGTGATTATTAGTATGATCAGCAAAAAATTTGACAGTTGTGGTGGCCATTGTCCCCAAAAATGGAAACAGTTAGCTTGGGTTGCGGCAGTCTCCGAAGATAATCTGGCTGCGTGGTATTGCTGACTTCGGGCTGACGTGTGGGATTTACACATTGGGTTTCAATGTTTGACCTGAAATGGGGGGCAGGGCTGACTTATGGTTAGAGGTTCGGGACTCCGCCCACCCATATTAATAACGAATCCGATTGCACGGAACAGGCTGTAATCAAAATAGTGGTGAAAGAAGGCTGGGAAAGCGGAGGAATTCTTCGAGTATACCCATCTCAACCAACTACAGTAGAACGAGCTTTCTGCAGGTTCTGTATGTGGACCAGAGCTTGCATGTTTCAGCGAGCCCAGTTTCCTCTCTGCAGGTGCGACGGCACGAGGCGGATCCCAAGCCAGAGGATTTCAAGGAGTACAAAAACAACGCGGGGGGTGAGAAGGCACGCAGGAAGTCGGGTTGAGTGTGTGGTACTTATCAGCTGTAGGTTTAAAAGAGGTTACAGTAGGAATTGGGGAGGGTTGCAAAGCTTATTCGGAACGAGTAATGCAATTGCCAGGGGCTTGAGCGCAGTATAGCGGTCGGACTCATTATCAATTACGCTTTTAGTTAACATTCTCATTAGTCACTGTGAAACTGGTTTGTGAGGGCAAAATGTGACGGTCCAATACGGCTTCAAGCCTTATTCGAACTAGTGAGATTTCGCTTATATATGGGTGGGAATCCGAGAACAGAGTCCGGATGTAAGTGATCCCAATCTTGCCCAGCTTCATTCCCGCCTTGTTAGGCCCTTGAGGAGGGAGTCGCTTGCAGGTCTGGAGCAGTTTAGGGTCTTAAAGATGTTTAAGATACTGGTCCCCTACAGGATGCTTAATTTAGGATTTTAGGCTTGAGGGATTTGTATAAGGGTTCCACAGGCGATCCTTTACCGGCCCAAGAAGATGCTCCAGGTGATGGCGCTGATTCGCGAGGTGAGCGACAGCTCTGCCACCCTCGAAAAGGAGGCGAAGCAGGCCGACGAGGACCTGGCAGCCGGGTTCTTGATAGGGGATTTGTTTTTGAGTTGCCATAATAAGGAAACCATATTTATTGTGTCACATTGCTTGGCTGATAGACTTCAAATAAGAGGTTGCATTAAGCTAGTCATATCCTTTACACATACTCCCATAGTTACGACAATTCTCTACTTCATCTCATCTTGGGCATCTATTTATACTCTGCTTTAGTGGGCCGAAAGATGATGCTGGTGCAGGGTTCTTCGGTCACTAGGCTTCGGCAGGGACACTGGCAGTGGTTGAACCTTGTAAGGCCTGGGGAGTACAGCGGGAGCGCTGTATAAGAAAATACTTTCTGGGACGAGGGTGGTCTGGTTTTCTTATTTTGATAGCGGCTGGTTTTGTGGGAAAACTTAATCTAGGATGGGTCGGGGTAGTCTGGTTTTCTTAAGGCCGTTTTCTTATATAGCTATGTCCAGGGCCCAAGAACAAACGACGACTTTCCGCAACCTCAAACCCAGCAGGCCCAAGATCCCTTAATGAAGGCACGAATCTTCAAACATAGTATTGAATGCAGCTCCGTTACCCCATGCTGCTACAGTACCTCAAACAGCTTTGCTCCAAACGAGGCAGGTTCGGCACTCCGGAGGTGTAGGACGGGCCCCTGAGCTGTCGGATCTTATATTGCTTCGTTCCAGAACGCACTCAAATACGAAAACGAGGCTCTGGCATTTTCTTGTTTCCCTTCGTTCCAGAACGCACTTAAATACGAGAACGAGACTCTGGCATTTTCTTATTTTCCTGTGTTCCAGAACGCACCTAAATAAGAAAACGAGACTCTGGCATTTTCTGATTTTGTGTTGTTTTGGAACCCAACTAAAGAATACGAGGAGCCCGGCAATCCCTGAAAGCCCTTGCACAGCACAGGCCATGCTTACGCACACTTGTATTATACAGCGCGGAATAAGAAAATGAGACTCTTGGACGAGGGTAAGGAGAACCCCTTTAATCCCCAAATCCAGAGACTCATTTTCTTAATCCAATGTTTTCTTAAGTAGTGTTGTCGCTGTAGACCATTGCCTCGGGATGTGCAACAGCCCCCACGGAGGCGGAAAATCCTGGATTAAGTGTAAAGGGCTACGTAGGGTCTCACTGAGAAGGAGCACCACAGTGCTTCCAAGGCCCATGCGGCCTTTCAAAAAGTCTTAAGACGAAGAGGAGCCTTCGGCTGTTATCCCGCAGCCCGGTTTGGGGTGTAGGTAGGTTTCTGGAGGTCTATGATACTACGTATACAATACAATACAATACAATACTATACTATACTATACTATACTAAACTATAAAAAATACTCAAGTCGGGAATCATGAGGCGGGTGCTATTGTCTAAAAGTGCCGCCAGCAGGATTCCCGTATTGCCTTCGAGAAGCTCTCGGACGAGACCAAGGCCGAGATGCGTAGCGCGACAGAGGCCGGAGAATCCACAGAGTTCGTTGTGTGTTCCAGTCCCATCTCATTATTAATATAAAAAATATGCTATAGGATAATGTACAGTATAGTACAGTATAGTATAGTATGCATAGTATATTATGGAGGGTGGGGCGCCAGGGATTTTTGATTGTCGCTTACGGTGCTTCATTCGAGTCGATGTCGGGCTGGGGCTTGGGAGGTGTATTTGCAAGAGTTCCACATCTTGGCTTTAAGCTACTGTTCAGCTGATCTCCGAATGGCTGCCATATCATTATGAGTACGGCTAGCCCAAAGGCCACCGAGAAGATGCAACAGTCTTTCCCTCGGGAACTCTTATCAAGAAACCCGCTCGACTGCAAGAACGCTTTGTTTGATCACGGTTTAGAGTTCAGGGTTCGGGGGGTATGTGATACTATCTATACCATGCCATACCATACCATGCAATAATTACTTATATTAGAAGACATGAAGGGGGTACTGTTCTATTGAGGGGACGTGATCAAGTCTTTGGCCACGGCAAAGGAGACGAACAACAAGGCCATTCACAAGGCTGACTTAGAAGCTGACTTGCCCCTTGACTCATGTAGTGGCTGAGTAGGGTTTAGGGCTTATAGAGGTATATCTTGACTGACGGGAGACCGGCCTGGGATCCAAGGGCAGCTCTCGGTTTCAGGCGCATGTAGTTCTGAAGTGATAACAAGGCGAGCTTGGAACTCAGAAGCCACTGCTTAGAAGCTAGGATCTGCAGACTCTTTGGCCCTAAATGATCAGAGGTGTCGGGTGCAGGGCTCAAGGCTACCAAGATTCAGTCGCGATGCTGCACTTCCCCACAGAGTTGCACAGTCCATACATTCCAATTTGCAGAAAGGTACGGAACGTGGAACCCATTATGACCGATCAGGGTCCTAAACTCAATGCATGAGGCCATAACGGAGACAGGGTTTGTTCACCAGTGTTACTTTGGTTTAGGTTCTAGGCACAGCCCTTGTAGACATCACAACAAGAGTAACAGTGGTGTCTCTAGAAATATACGAGCACGGTTGCTGTCAGCCAGGAGAACTCCACACCCTTCACACCAGTCCGCCCCAAGCACCAGGAGCCCTACACCATGGGGTCTTATGTAGGGTTTTCGGGGCTTAGCTTTCTTGGAATTTCAGGCGGTCTTTCCGGTTCAGAAGGCTGTTAACCGCTCCATGTGAACTTTTAGCTTGAGAGCCCAAGCCGATGCCCAGGGCGGAGGCCAAACAGGTGCTTCGTTTGACCAAGGCCTGGGGGGAGGGGGGGGGAGCCTAGGGGCCCTTGTTTCCGGCTTTGGGTCTTGAGAGTATCAGAAATCATTCCAGCCACCCACCCAAGATCCTAGAGAATCCTGCACCCCCAGCGCGTGTGGACTAGAATTGCTTCGCTTCTTGGGTCGGACGAAACAGCCCCCTAACCTGATAAAGCCCCGCAGCAATCTGACACAAGTCCAGAATAAGCCCCAAGCTAAAAGCTATAACCCCCAGCCCCCAGCATTGCAAGCAAAGCAATCAGCAGGGTTTGACCTAAAGCAAATTCGAAGCCCCTCCCCCACCACCGCTCTTCACGATGTGTGGTCTTAGAACTTGCGTTTTTTGGCATGCACGGATATCTGGTGCAGCCCGGCTGACGTGCTTTCGTCTCGACTACATGGGTTCCCGAGTGCTAAGCATCGTCACAGTCCCGGGCGTCAGCGCATGACCTTGTACTATCCCTGCCCCAAACCCTTCACCCGAAACCTCCTAAACCGAGCTCCAACAGTGCCCCGCTTTTGGGGAGAACCTGGAAGGATGAGTTGGAGAGTCTCTCCGATTCGATTGACGCGATCCACAAGTCCTGCGACTTTGCCGGCTGCCCTGGGACGGACGTGGGTTGCCAGTACACTTGCGGGGTCATGCTAGGGATCCCCAAACCCAAGTATGTTCAAGCACCTTCTGGCTTCCAACCAGGTTTGCTTCAAGTCACGTTCGGGTTTGGTGTCTGCGCAGATGTTGAAGAGAACGGATTCTCATGACTCTCATGTAGCCAAGGTTCAAGCCCAAGCTTTCGCGCTTAGGTTGAAGGGTTTACTTCTTGTCACCGTTCGACTACGGCCAGAGTAGGGTTTCTTATCATTCTGAACTCCGGGTTGGGCAGGTCAGAGTTCTAGCACCCTGTAGTCTTAGTGCCGAAGCACTCCTCCCTCTCCCTGGCCCTTCCTGTTATCCTGACTGCTGCTTTGGGGATTTGTTGGGGTTTCTTTTGGGTCAGAGCTGAAACCCTTCGCGGAGGGCCGTGTTCCCCATTTTGTGTGTTTGGCCTATGCACCTGAGCCCTCCGACCGAGCCTTGATTCCATAAATTCTGGTGCCCAGGTCGTTGACAACTCCGCAGTGCGACAGGAGGCACGTGGCCAGGAGATTAAGGCCGGATGCCCTGCAGCGGTTCAGGGGTTAGGGCGTTAAGGCCTTCGGCTTTGATCGGGTTTGGGGCTGTATAAGTGCTTCATTTTCATGAATGTTTGTTGTCTAGGAAAGTTCTACATGTTACTGAAGGGCTTTAGGTTTGTGGGGATTTAGAGCTTTAGGGCTTTAGGCAGAATAGGGAATAGCGCTTAGAGCTTTACGATGCCCTCAAGGTCTCAAGGGTTTGAGCTTTCCCAGAGGGACCATTACCCCTCAAGAAAGGAAGTCCTATGAAACCGCTGTACAGCTGAAGGCAGACTGCGTGCCCGAATCGCTGACCTTCAAGCCTTTGACTGTGCATTGCTTGTTGAGAGCTTGGGGATGTGTTTTGGTAGCCAGTACCCTTTTGCTCTTTTGCTTATGTTCTTCCTCAGTCAAACTTACTTGAAGTCCAGCGGCAAAAAGGTTCTTCGTTAGTTAGCGGCCGACTATCATGAGGAGAGCACATGCTCCTTCGCCAGGCGGTGACGCATGCCGTGTAGCAAGATATAGTGGTGGTTGCCTGTGCCGTAGGTTTAAATGTTAAAATCTGTGTTTCGAGATTTTGGGTTGTGTCTCAACTCGTCACAACTGCCATAAGCCCTGAAGCCGAAAAGCCGAAACTCCAAAACGCGCCGAAGCCCGGTAGCCGTGGATTCTCGGCTCCAATCGGACGCTGCTCTCCGGGTAGGCTCTGGAGGAGGCCAAAGCCATCTTGGGCTAAGGCCGCCCTTGGGCTGCCGTTCGGTTTTGGGGAGTTTAGGGGAAGGAAAACTCTGGCTTGGCGTAAAATCGGTCGGGCTTGTTTTGCTCCCTGATGCGAAGAAACTCGAAGGCCCGGCTAGCGGGGTTCTTGTCCGCCGCGGGTTTCCGTTTTGGACATGCAAACGTTTTTCAAACCGGTTGTCTCCCGATAGTCCCTATACTACAGGTGTATCTATACGTACGCTAGACTCAGCATACTCCCAAATCCTATTGTGACTGTTCCGTGTCGGAAATTATTAGGCACAACTCTGCTGATGACCAACAATAACATTGGCTTTTCCCTACGAAGGCTCTCAGAGCTCCCTCAAAACCACTGGGTTTGGGGCTTAGCTCGAAAGGGTCTATCTGAGGGGCCTCTCTTTAGCACTTTTTACTTTTTTCGGGCGCCTGTAGAAACCTTAGAGCTGCCGCCGAATGGGGTTTGGGGTTTCGTAAACCGTCGGTTGGCATTTCTTGCTGTCACTAGAACGGTTAGAGTGTAGCAGTAGATGTTGCACCAACTCCCTACAGGACCCGTATCTTCATCGGCATCCGAAACCCGAAACACGAAAGCATTAAGCCTTCAACAACCTTCAACCCACAGCAGTTTTAGTACCCACCACGATGCTAAGTTAGAGTCTATCTGCCAGGCTTCACTCTGGTCTCGCCTCACGGGCGACATGCGAACTGCGTGCAAAAAGGTGCGTTGAACGGGCGAGTTGACATGATTGGGGCGGATGTGGAGGGGGAGCTGCGCAACTTGATCTGTCAGGCCCAGGAGTGTTGCGACTCGTAGACAGTATGCTTTCACCTTTCTTGCCATTCTGCTGCATGCGCTGCAGGAGAGAGTTGCTGGTTACGCTCAGCTAGATGCCCTACAACTTGGAATGCTGCTCCGCCTCTGATGTGTCTCATGCCAAAGTTGTTACAATCCTTTGGCAGGAGCCCGTGTTGCGTGTTGCACTTGCGTAAGCCACGAAGCCAGAGATGCTGATGCGGATGGGGGTGATGACGAAGTTATTGATGACCTCTACAGAACCATCGCAATCTTCGCTTGGGGTAGACCTGAAACCGGAAACACCTGAACAGGCACCAGTTCGAGAATCTCGAACCTGGAAGTCCAGCACTCTCAATCCCTGAATCGCACCGCAGGCTCACAATTTTTGGGGTGGGATTAGCGAGGGGAGGAGGGCGTTACCATGAAGTCCCTGGCCAACTACGACGAGACGAATCCAAAGGCCGCTGCTCTGTTTCGGGTACTCATCGAAACGACCCAAACCCAGGAACTCCCACGAAGGGACAATGATATTGGAGTTTCTGGTGAGGTTCTTGTGGATTGCGATATGGACGATCAGGGGACAACAAGTTTCCAGCATTTGGGCTTTGCTAGAAGCAACACGGGAATGGTTGGGGTCCTTACTTAAGGATCCTGCCTTTTAGGTGTCTCGGTGTCTCTGTTTGGTTCACCATTGCCATGAGTTGCCAACGCTCACACGGTCAGCCCAAGGTCAGGTTGGTAAGCCCAAGCATCCCAAAATTCTAAACGGGCTTCCCAAAAGTTGAGATCAGCAAGTGTGTGCCGCAGGCTTGTCTTGAAAGGGTTGCACAGAGTTCTATGTTACAGGTTTGTCGCCTGGGTAGTTCTCTAAATTAGGGTCCCGTTTAGGTGTTCCTTTTATGGGTACCGTACTAGTTTGTGGACTCAAAAAGGGGCCCTACTCTAGAAGACTGCCCACCTATCGCGCGATTTAGGACTTGTGGTTCTGGATTTTGGGCAAATAGGGTCGCTAAACCCCAACCGCTGGTCGATGCTTTAGGGTTTGCCTTTGCTGGTTGAGGGTTTAAGAGCCTTTGCGGTTTGTGCCGTATTCAAGGGTGGGCGGGTGTTGTTATCGGAGATTGTTGCCATTGCTACTGTACCATGTTTCCATGATTCCGGCAATGAGGGGATATTTTATCCCAGCACTAAAGTAAAGGCGCCTGCAGTCTCTTAAAGCGGCACAGGGGGGGGGCCCTCTTTTTTGCCCAGTGTCGTCGACCTCTGCCCTACCCACAACAGCTGAAGCAGAACCCAAGTCTCAAGGAAACCCTACTCAATCCCTATAAAACCTGCTACTATAGGCTAGATGCCTCAAATCCCTTAAGCCCCAGGCCTAAATCCGTCAGACATGTCCGAGTGTGAGTGCTGAAATCGGGCAGACTCAGCGAGAGTCTCAGACCTTGCCCGGATTCGTCCGAGTGTCAGCGTCAAAACAGCCCATCCGCCATTTTGCAGGCAGTGATCGACTCGCCTAGATCACTACAGGCACCGCCCCGGAGGGAGTTTAGGGAGCGGGGTTCGAGATTCTTTGGTCCTAGGGGAACTTAGGGGCGACTTAGGGGTGTCAGGTGGTGTGCTCCGCTTACGCTCAGGACTCCTAAAACGCCCCAGATTGGGTATCACACCCTTGGCTGGCCATAGAAAGTGAATCGGAATGCGGGGGCTTCTTCTAAGAGCATTCCTGAGGAAGTTGCTTTCATCCCACATTCGCGGTCGAGAAACATGAAGCAGCCCTCGACCTAGTCGTTAGGACTCTGGGGGTTTAGGGTTCAGGGCTTCCTGGTTTCCCGTCCATGGAGACTCGTAGCGCGAAGAACAGGCTCTACGGCCTCAAGAGCTGTAGGAGGTTGGGTTCGAGTCGGTGCAGCAGCGAGTAAACCACAGTTTCAATTTTTCTAGACTTGCCAACCTGGGTTCAATCCCTAAAATTTCTAAAACTTGCACTCGTCATCGCAAATTCCTCGAAGCTTAGCATCCGGAGCCTGCAACACAGCCAGGCATGCAGACAAGAAGGCGTACTTCCGCAAGAGCTGATCTTCAAGCCTGCTGCTTTCTTGAATGAGCCCTTTCGGTTCCGGATAGGTTGCCTCGTAGAACTGTGACCTAAAGCCCAAGCGGACTGCAGCCTAACCGTAAAGGCTCCTGCATTGGAATTTGACGGTTGAGGGTTAAGTATAACTGAGTCTGAGGTCTGATTATGAGAGTGAGAATGAACTGGAGCACAGGGTTGCACATCGTCATGCTGTAAGCGAATCTTGCTCGCATCGCTTCTTGAGAGGGTTCATCGTTTCTTCCAAGCCTATGGTCGAAAGACCTAATATGGTAGAATATGACATCTCCATATTTTTTCGACCAGTTGGAAGATCGAGTTTTCGCAGCTTTCTGGCACCGGTCCTCCGAATCTGCTTGCGTTCAGGGATTCAGTGTTGAGGCCATTTTAGAAGTGGGCTTCACGACTTCTGGGGCTTGCTCGGCAGGATGATGCTGCGATCTTCATGTCAAGGCGTCTCCAGAAGGGATAGCAAGGCGCGAAATCCTAAACCCCAGACCCTGCTCGTTCTGAGTCGGTGGCTCTGGCACCAAGTCTGCACCTTGCCACCGTGTTTTCTGCACCTAAGCGCAAAGACGGTCTGCTGAAGGCCATATTAATTGCCATTCACACGATTACGATGACTACCAGTATACATGTATGGCTATTACTTGAAATTATTGACATTATGATGAATAGCGAGTTAGTTGTCTTGTTACTACTGTTACGAACATTGAACATTGTTACTCGCAGCGTTTGATTATCAGTTTTACTGTTGGTCGTGCTTGGATTCTTAATGTCATCGTTAAAGTGTTCGGAGAGACAAAGCGCAACACAGTTCGGACTGGCTCGAGCTGCGCACAGGGGAGCCGAACCCCAGCCCTAGCTAGCCTCCCAGTGTGGTGCTAATGCCCAAAGCCTCCTCCATGGTCTGCAGAACCATGCCCTTGAGGCCCTGAACTCCGAACCCTCTTTCCACTGAGGTCGAAGCATTCCAGGACTGAACTGGTTAAGGGCCAAGGGCTTTCGAGCTTTCAATTCCCAGGGTTCAAAGCTCATGCCGAGCTTCATGTCGGGACCCTTTGGAAAAAGTGGGGCATGGCACTCAGACAGGTCTGCAAACACAAAAAAGAAAGCCTGGCAAGACGCAGCCCGCCACCTACTGAAAGACATGTAAGCACCAAGGCTGCTGCTCACCTTCTCCCATAACCACTCTTTCTAGGGTTGGGTTACTGTCGTTTCCCGGACTCCTGAAAAGGTTGCAGACGAAACCCCCTTCAACGAGGCCCCAGTGGTAGGATGCCTTTGGGGGGGGGGGGGGGGGGGATGCTGCGAGGGTCCCTCGGAAATGAAAACAAGGGCCCTTAGTTTAGATCGTAAGTAAAGTAGTGAGGGAGCACTTGTGTTTTGTTAAAGCCCCCACAAGGCAGAACCTCTTTTGTCAAGACACCTTCCAAGGACCGACATCAACCATAAAAGACTTCATTAAACCCGGTGAAAACTGAGTTAGGAATCTCCATACCCTGACCCCTCGCTGAATGCACAGGAAAGGAATCTCTCACCGCGGCTCGTGAAACTCAGGCGCGGCAGCCGCTTTTTACCGGTTCTTTGCAAGGGATTTGGGTTCAGAGAGATTATGGATTTTTCAGAGGTTTAAAATAGCCTGTAAGTAAGGGGCCCTATCATCACCTGCTGTTTCGTCGGACTTGTTTGCTCAGTTAGGCTGTGTGGACTTTTTTGTCGGCGTTAGGTGTGCCCTGGAAATGAGAGTCTATCTTCGTGCCCATCGCGTGGCAGTTCAGCTGTGACGGGTTGGTTATCCCCGGGTCGATGCAGAGAGTGAGAGTGATAGAGAGCCAGCATGTTGCAATACAAAGAGCCTCATCAGAAAGCACTCTCGATAAAAACCAAATCGTGATCAATGTCCCCCTAAACCATACCTTGAAGTAGAGACCTGCGAACCTTTCTCAAGGGGCCCAAATGACCGAATGGTTCGGTTTGTTTGCGTGTTCATGAAACCATTTCATTATCCCATCTAACGGCTTCAGGGAAACAGACCCTACATGAATCTATAGCATCCAGAGACACCGATCTGCCACCCTTTGAAGGTATGACTTCTTCGAGGCCAAGCGCCGCGACCTTCTCGCAGCAGCAAGGAGGGCGAGAGACCCTCGGAGAGACAAAGAAAAATGGAGGGGCTCCTTTCTTGGGAGCCACTTTTGGCATTGGTGTTGCTTTGGTATGTCGGGTTTAGGATTTTAATGTTTAGTGGGTTAGGTTTTTGTTAAGGGTATAAGGTTCGAAAGGGAAGTGCTTTTCGGCTTCAAGGTTCAGGCCTCTTCGGGCCCCGTTTGGTTTTTTGTTCTTTCAAAGGGCTTTCGGGGTTTCCGACTGAATTACAAGGAGTTGCTACGCTTGTGTAAGGGCCATAAATACGAGAGCTAAGTGTTTCTTGAGAGTATGAAGGCTTCAGAGGGCTCGCCGTGTTACAATTCTTGTTATAGGGCCTCATTACGGCGCAAGGGACGGCTTGAACAGTGGGATTCCAAGGTTGGGTTTTACGGGGATTCCAGGTGTGAGTTCTGGTTTTTTGCATTGAGGGTGTTGGGTTGCAGAGTCTAAGTCAAGGAGCTTCAAGAATCGAGACAGTGGGTTTCTCCACAATCCTTGCCAGCATGGTTGTGCGGGAGCGGGTAGGCTGAGATTGCTGAGGTCAAGCGTTTTTGAGATTATCCGTGCATTTTCGAGCACGTAGCGATTCGGCGTCTCATAGTTGAGCCATCCGAAAACCCTTATCTTAATGCCCAGGTTAAAACCCACCCACCCACACACCCGGAGCATGAAGCCTTGAAGCGCCGTAAGCAAGGGCCGAAAGAACCCTCTCGACGAATTCAACCCAGGATTCCATACTCGCAGATGAACACCGGGACAAGGATCGGCTTCCCACAGATCTGGATTTGTAATAGGGGTTCATAAGGTTTTGTAAGGGCTTCATAGGCTTCAGAGCCTTTTTTGCTTTCAGAAGTTGGTCCACAAAGCGGGAGAAAGGCAGAGAGATCGCTTTATAGGGATTTGTTTCTAGGGTGTATTGCCTTGCAGTTCAAGGTTTAGGATAAGACATGATGAGACTGCTTTCCAAGAAGCTTCGAAATGGGCTTGTTCACCGGGCCAGATACTTCGAAAAGCAATGCTTTCTGGTTACGAAGGCTGAAGTGCATTTGTTGGCGTTCTATGGGATGGTAGGGGCTTGGCTCGACTAGACTCCACCAGTTCTTGGTGAAGGCTTAGGGTTTAGGTTACTTCACGCTTAAGCTAACTATCGGAATGTATAAAGCCATATAGTCCTGAAGGGATGACGGTCATCTATGTTCGTATTTAAACCTGGCGTTGCAGGACACATGATCGTTTGCCCAGAGTTCAATGCAGGGGTCCTAGGTACGTCCGGGTTAGGAGGGCAACCTTGACATGCAACGAGTTACTGTACTGTGCTATACTATACTGTCCGTATGAATAGGGCTTACTTATGCAGTGATGAAAAGGGCGCAGGGGCAGTAAGTCACTGGTCGCCAAATGGGATTCTTGGGTTCATGCAAATCCCAGTGGCCCCCAAAATCGCACACCCTTCAGTTCCAGTCTCCAGACCCGCAAAAGACCGCTCTCCACTGACAGAATCGTGCTGGAAGTAGATTAGCGACGGACAGGATACTGTGGGCTTTGAGCAAGCGAGAGCCAGGCGCGGGCTGTCCTTTTTGTGCATGTACACAGGAGAACTCCAAGCATCAGCTGGAATTGGCGGCGCAGGACGGGGTGGTCATGCAACGGATCGGAAGTGCAGAGTAGGCTTTATGTCAAGCTCTGAAGCAGAAATTTCTAAAACCCCAAAATAAAACACACCGCCTCTTGAATGTCTACTGCTCAAACCCAGCTCCCACGCCGCACATGACGGCCTTGGGGAGTACAGATTCGTTCGAGCTCGTCAGCCAAAGATGATTTCAGTGGCCTACATATGCTTTTTCCAGACCCTGCTTCGCGTCTCGAGAGCTTTGGACGACTACGACCATGCGTCTGCTGTTGCTTGGTGCCGGGTCGGTAGAGGGTCTGGCTTCTGGGATCATACAACCCCGTTTCAAGCCGAATTTCGCAACCCTAAACCGATGTGACCCCCTTAAGCCTGAAAGCTCGATATGGCCGAATGAACTGGATTAAACGAACCCTAAAATCCTAAACCCAAAATGCTGAACCCTGAAAAAACCCCTGTAAGCCTCGAACCATTTTGGACGGAAAAGGTCTGGAAAAAAGAAAGCCTAAGCCCTTGATCCTATTTCCCTCAACCCCAAAGTCCCTAAACCCCTAGACCCCAAACCCTACCCTTCAAACCGGGCTTAGGGTTTAGGGTTAAACCCTTCAACTCCCCAAATCCTAAACCCTTCAACCGGGTTTAGGGTTCAGGGTTAAACCCTTCCACTGGTCACGATAAGGTTGTGAACTCCTTGGCAGAGGTCGAGCTGACCGAAGCGGAGAGCTGCTTAGAAGCCGACTTAGGGCCCTGGTTAACCCGCCTCGGGATTACGAAAGGCTCTAAACCGCACGTATAATATGTGTATATACATATACATATATATATATATACACAAGCATATGTGTAGAAACAGAGATATAGATAGGTGATGTTGTCTATTCGATTCTTTGGTTTGTTTGTTTCTCTACTATGTTATGTGTGTGTTTAGTTCAACTTGTTGTTGACGTGTTCGTTTATGTACATTGTAGTTTTGGTTTTGACTTGCTACTCATGTGTTGATGTTTTTAGTGCTTGTTGCTGTGATTAGTTTTGTTCTACAACATACATACATACATACATACATACATACCTACATGCATACATGCATACATACATACATATGTATATATATATATATATATTTATATTTATTTATTTATTATTATTATTATCAGAGTACTATTGTTATTATTATTATTATCATTGCAGTAACATGTTGCTATCGTGTCGGTGTTCTTCCTGCGGTAAGTCGTTCCTCGGGATAAGGCCTCGAACCCTGAAGCGCTGACTACACCCTGTAGCCACAAATCCAGCCCTGAAGCGCAGGTTTAGGGCTTAGGGGTATATCATAAAACAACAAGAGGTAGTTATTATTAAGGCCCCGAAGTCTTAGGTTCCAATCTCCGAGAGCCAAGGTCTTGATGCCAAGCTTGACACCCTCGAGGCTGTGGCTACTAAAGACTGCCCCAAGTGTGGTCGGATGGTCTTCCGACACATGGGCGATGAGTGGGTACACTTTGCAATTTTTGGGATCACCCGCTGTAGAACTGTTTTGCACTCTTTGTGGCGTAACTAAGGACACATGGGCGATGAGCACTGGGTGCTCGTAACTCGGCGTATGGCAAGAGATCTGCTTCTGTCTGGTAAACTAGAGGCTCTAGAGGCGTTGGGTGATCGTAACTGAGTTCTCCGCGGGTTGCGTGGAAGGTCCAGGCTTATACTTTTTTCAGGCATCGTGACAGTAAGGTCATGAAGCTTAGCAAGAACGACTTCTGCTATGGGTCCAAGAGGTGGAACGACGGGAAGTCCTTCAATCCAGACAAGATGATCGATACGACCATGCCGAATATTCGCTCCTATGATGCCAAGCACATTGCCTTTCACAAGTTGAAGCACGTGGATGCCATAAAGCTGCAGACCAACCGACTGGCAGGATTTCGAGAGATGCCGGTCATTGAGTTTGCAGGCAAGGGCACGCCAGAGACCCTGATGACCAAGAACAGCGTCAAGCTGAAGAAGCATCCAAATTGGCACGACTGGTGGAATTGGAAGAGGGCCTTTGGTAGTGACCGGAACCGGGCGCCCGCGTTCTTTCGCGCAGGGCGGATTGTCACCGACCCAAAGCCAGTTTGTCGAAACAAGGGCTGGCGCATCAGTGGTTGTGGCAAGCCCTGCATGTTCTGTATGATGGCTGGTGATGGTTGGGGATGTCCCACCAGTGCTCGTCACAACGACATTAGCTCCGGAATCGGCTTGAACGCTGCTTATTGCGGCGGCGGAGGGAAAGATGACTGCAGTGCCTCGGGTCATTGGTCCGGAGACAATCGGGTTCTTGTTTGGGCCCGCTTCTCCGCGTATCAGATGACCACCACGACCACGACCACAGCCGCATGCAAGAGCGGCGATTGCTGTGGCAGCTTCGGAGGTCAAGGGCCCTGGAGATGCGATGGGCTTGATCCGAAGAAATGCAACGACACTTTTGTCGAGGTTGTGCCTACGGAGCATGTGCAGTGCGGCACCGTGAATGGTATCTGCATGGCTGCGGGGAGTAGCTGTCAGAACCGGGCAGAAACCACAGTTACGGAGACCGTCTACACGCACTTCGACATGGCGGAGGTCAGCGTCAGCGGTGGCCATGCCGGGCTGTGGGGCAACCCTCCCGAGAACATCCGATCCGGCAATCCGAGAGAGAAGACATGGGCTGTTTGGGCGGAGATCCCTGAAATGCCAGCAGGGGGTAGCATTACGATGACCTACCAGTATACAGTGGGCTATGGTTGCACAGGCAGGCAAGGAGGCCCAACCTTTGATGTCTACGTCGGTCGCACGAAGATCACGGACACTTCCCAAGGTCCTTTTCTCGATTATCCTGCTGACCACTGTGGTGGCACAGGCTGCTCGACATGCTACTCGCCTCTGCAGACCTTGGTTATGCAAGTAGCTCCCGGCACTCAGGGTGACTTCACCACGGAGATCGTGAACAACCTGCGGAATTTCCACCTTAAGATCGAAGAGATCCGACTTACGACGCCAATCCTCTGAGCAGATCGAAGTCTCTGCAGAAGCTGCTCTAAACTGGGGCTCCAGATTCCCAAGTAGACTATGATGGCTCTTGCCTAGATGTACGGAATATGCTCATCTTTCCTCTACATAGATAGGTAGATAGATAGATATCTATATATATATATATGTATATAGACAGATAGATAGATAGATAGATAGAGAGTTTTAGTACCACTTCTTGCATGCACTTGTACGGAGTGCGCTAGACCCTTGTTATAATTCGGGGGACTGGAGCCCTGGGTTGGTTTGTACCGCACACATCCTCGGACTTCCTCGGTGCAATCGGGTCGCACGGGCGGCAAAATAGCGGTGGCAAATATTTCGGAAAGCTGCCGAAATCTGCAGCCGTTCACTCGACAGTACTAGGTCCTAGCTTCAGAAGATAGACTGCATGAGGGACTAACTCCTGCGGCATGCGCTATTTGATGTAGTTAGCGCGCTCGTAAGATGCATGCTGTCAAGTGCATGCGATTATTTCGCACGTCGAATGCTAGAGCCAGAGTATTATGGTTTCATGCCTGTAACGCACATGTAAGCTCTCAAGTTTCAATAGCGATTTCAAAAATTACATACCCAAAATGAAAGTATATAGTAGGAACCCTCATTAAGCAGCACCCCCTTGCGAGAGGAGAACTTTGACCCCACACTGCGAAGCCAAATAAGTCGTTCCACAATTGCTTGCTTCTACGAGACGTGCTTGATGTGGCGTGCTCTTAGAACCTCGGCAGGACTCCTTGTAAGTGCTGTTGTGTGCTTAAGCGAGGGCTAGGCTCCCTTAACTAAGTTTCCGATGCTCCCAGATACCTCCTCCAACTTCCCAAGCTGCTTCCTCCAAGCAGGAGAGCGGCATGACGAAGGGTGCCATCCTCGCACTGAACAGCGATACCTTGAAGATGGAGCGACAAAAGCGGCCAAGCAGCCATGGCAGTTTGGGGGCTTGGGCCCTACAGTCCAGAGGGGCACTGTTAGGAGTCAGGGGCTACAAGGAGCTCAGTGAGTGGACACCTATCCACAGCTGAGGGTTCCGGGCTGCGCAAGTCACGGGTCTTTTTTCGCCCGCAAGCAAACCCTCGACTGCCCTGCGCATCCCAACGGCAAAAAGTCATTCCGACATCCTTTGACAGGAATGATCCCAAAACCTACTCAAGACCAAGTGCCAGCCTTAAGTTAGCAGCAGTATTCCTTGAGCTGGACCCTTGAAATTTCGACCCGAGCCCGGAGCATCCGAGGCTTCTGCGTGCTCAAGAGAATGAGCGAGCCTGGCTGAAATCCGTCCCCCCGGCTGAGTTGGGGCTTACGCCAGTAGTTGCAAGATCTTGTGACCTGGGCATGATCCTCCTGATGCATTTACGGTGCAGCATCGTATCGCCCCAGCACTAGTCGTCCCTATCGTATGTTCCTGGAGTTCATTGCAAGACCTTAACATGAGAAGAGGCTTCTGGGGGGGGGGGGGGGT